AGTCCTTGAGGTTTTCTGTGTACACTATCATATCATCTGTATATATTGTTGTTATGTGCCATCAAGTCAGCTGCGACCCACAGCAACCCTATGTACAGCAACTTTGAAGCCTGTCCTGTCCTGAGCCAGTCTCACTAATTATGACACACCAACAACCCCCGCTGCTCCAGTACCAATGCATCATATCAGGGTCTTCCTCTCCTGTGCTGTCCCTCCACCCTTCCAAGTATGATGTCCTTATCCAAGGACCAATCTCTTCTGGCAACATACCCAATGTATATGAGACACAGCATCAAAACCCTAGCCTCCAAGGAGAAACTTGGTTTCATCCTCTCCAAGACACATCTATTTGGGGTTTTTGGCAGTCTGTATGTATGTTCAAGACTCTTCTCCAGCACAATTCAAAGACATTGATTCTTCTTCCGCCATCCTTAGTCATTGTCCAGCTCTCTGATGCCTAACAAGTAATCGCAAAGGTCATGGCCTGGATTAGGTGTGTCTTAGTCACTAGACTGACATCATTGTTTTTTCAGTACTTTGCACAGACTTTCAACAATGCGATTCATCTTTTTATTTCTTGATTGCTGGTGCTAAGAGTGTTGATTGTGGAGCTGAGCAAGTTGTAATTTTAACGATAGTTTAACCATCTCTCTGCCAATCTGGATGCCTTTTATTTCCTTTTCTTGTCATATTGCCTTAGCAAGCACTTCCAGTACAATACTGAATAGAAGTGGTGACTGTAGGCATTCTTGTCTGGTCCCAATTTGCAAGGAAAATCCTTTTAGTCTTTCTCCATTAAAAATTATATTGACTCAGAGTTATACAAATTGTCAAAGAGGAGGTAAAATTATCCCTCTATGCAGATGACATGATAGTATACTTAGAAAACCTTAAAGACTCAGCAAGAAAACTATTGGACATAGTTGACTAATTCAGCAAAGTAGCAGGATATAAGATCAACATGCAAATATCAGTTTAATTTCTCTACAGTGACAAAGAGAATACAGAGCTGGAGCTAAGAAAAACAATACCCTTCACAATAGCCAATCACAAGATTAAATATTTGGGAGTAAATATAACTAGAAACACAAAAGATCTATTCAAAGAAAATTACAAAACATTACTACAAGAAACAAAAAAGAGACCTAGAGAAATGGAAGAATATCCCTTGTTCATGGATAGGAAGGCTCAATATTGTGAAAATGGCAATATTACCAAAGGCAATTTACACATTCAATGCAATCCCAATACAAATACCAATTTCATTCTTCAATGAGATGGAAAAGGCAATCTCCAGCTTCATTTGGAATGGAAAGAAGCCCCGAATAAGCAAAGCACTCCTTAAAAATAGAAAAAAGGTAGGAGGCATCTGACTTCCTGACTTAAAATCCTACTACACTGTCGTGGTAGTTAAGACAGCATGGTACTGGTACAATGACAGACACATAGACCAATGGAATAGAATTGAGAACCCAGAAATCAGCCCATCTATTTATGGTCAACTGATTTTTTTACAAGGAGATTAAATCAGTTAGGTGGGGAAATGGTGTTGGTAAAATTGGAAAACTCTCTGCAGAAGAATTAAACAAGATCCCCACCTCACTACATATACAAAAACCAACTCAAGGTGGATCATGGACCTAGGACAAAAACAAGGACTGTAAACTTCATTCAAGAAAAGCTTGGAAAAACTTTAGTAGTCCTAATCCACAACATAAAGAGTCTTCCCAGTATTCTGAAAAATTTACAACCAGGAGAAGATAAAATAGATGAATGGGACCTTCTAAGAATCAAATCCCTATGCGCATCCAGAAACTTCTCCAACAGGGTAAAAAGGGAATTCACAGACTCATCCCCCCACCCAACAAAGTGTACAACCCCATGATTAATCCTCCCTCCCTCTGCACAACCTCATCCCTCTGCTTCCAACCTCTCCTACCCCTCTACCTCTATCATTTCTTATCTGTCTCTACTCTCTTTTTCTTTTGTTAAGTTTGTCAGTGGTTTGTCAGTTTTATTGACCATTTGGAAAAACCAGCTCCTGATCTTATTGATGGTTTCAATTGTGTTTCTGTTTTCTATCTCATTGATTTCAGCTCTTGTCTTTATAATTTCTTTTCTTTTAAAGGCTGGAGGATTAGACTGCTGTTCTTTTTCTATTTGATGAAGTTGTTGCATTAAATCATTCATTTTTTTTCTTTTCCCACTTTTTAAAGTGTATGTCTATTGCTATGAACTGCCCCCTGAGGACTGTTTTAGCTGCATCACAGAGGTTTTGGTATGCCATATTTTCATTTTCATTTGTTTCAAGGTAATTTTTTATTTCATTTGTTGTTTCCTTTATAAACAATCATGTTCTAGCAGAGTTATTTAGTTTCCACATGGGTGATTTTGTAAGTTTCACCCTCTGTGGTTAATTTCTATTTTTATGGCATTGTGGTCTGAGAAGATACATTGTATTATTGCAATGATTTTTAATGTGTTGAGGCTTGCTTTGAATGGACCATGTGCACTTGAGGAGAAAGTTAATTGAGTTTTAGTTGGGTGCAGTACCCTGAATATATCCACAAGGTCAAGTTGACTGATACAGTTTAGATCATCTTCATCTTTGCTAAGTTTCTTTTGAGTTGACCTATCCTTTGGTGATAATGGTGTGTTGAGGTTTCCTACCACTATTGTGGTGCTGTCTATTTCTTTCTTTAATTCTGTTAACTTGTTTTATGTATTTTGCACATCTATCATTCGGTGCATATGTTGACCAAAGTTATGTCTTCTTGATCTATTGTGCCTTTAATCAGTATGTAATACCCTTCCTTATCTTTTATGATAGCTTTCATTCTAAAGTCTATTTTGTCAGAGTATTGCCACTCCTACTTTTATGAGGTTGTCATTTGCTTGGAATATTTTTTTCAAGCCTTTGATTTTTGAGTCTGTCTTTCTCTTCCTTTTTTTTTAGATGTGTCTCTTGTAGGTAACCTATTGATGGGCTTTGTTTTTTGGTTTGGTAGTGGGATGTGTGTGTGTGTGTGTGTGTGTGTGTGTGTGTTTTAATCCATTCTGCTACTCTTTTTCTCTTGGTTGGCTCATTTAGCCCATTCATATTAAGTGTAATTATTGTCAGGCCAGATTTTACCCATTGCCATTTTGCTGTGTTTCTTTTTCTATTATTCCATCCATTTTCATTTTGCATCTGTGTGTGAAGGACTTCACATACACTGTTTTGTTTTTAAGTCTTATTTTAACAAATTTCTTAAGTTCCTTATTTTCTGCAGAGGATCTAATTTCTCCTTCATTTTTGCTGGGTACAGGATCCTTGGCTGGCAATTGTTTTCTTTCAACTTTCTGTACATGCCATCCCATTTTCTTCTAACTTGCATGGTTTCTGCTGAGAAATCAGAATGTAATCAAATTGTTTCCCCTTTGTAGGTGACTCTGTTTATCTCATGCTACTTTTAGTATTCTATCCTTTTTTTAAATAAGATTATATATCTATTGTAATTTTAATGAACATGTATAGAGAAGTAAGATTATCATTCATTGTTTGTTGCACATTTTACCCCTGAGCCCTCCCTTCCCTTCTCTCAGTTCACTTTAAATTAAAAAAAATTCATTCATTATTGCATAATTACCTACCTCACCCCCTCCAGTCCTCTTTAAAATAATAAATCTCTTATTCTGGGCTGTTTTATCCTTATCTTTTAATTTGGAGAATTTGACTATGATATGTCTTGATGTGTTTCTTTTTTAGTCTAGTCTATTTGGTGTTTGCTGTGTTTCGTGAATGTTGATTTCCCCAATCTTCAAAATACCTGGGAAGTTTTCTTCCAGTACTTCTTTCACAATTTCCCCTGTCACTCCCATATTCTAGAATTCCAATCATACATATGCTGTTCCTTGTGGTGTCATCCCACATGATCCTAATGTTTTCTTCATCTTCTTTGCATCTCATCTCTGATTTTTCTTCTACAAAAGTTATACAGGAGGTGTCCAGGACTTTCGTTCATAGGGTCGCTATGAGTCACCTGCAACTCGACGGCACTTAACAACACATAGCAGAGAGAGAGAGAAAGAGCAAGGAGTTGGCCTGGTGGACCAAAAGCCATCTCCCAAGCCAAAGGTGGGTAACTCTACTCCATGGCCCTCAGGCCTGCCTTTAATTGTTTTTGGTGAAACAGTCTTCTAGGTCGTGTAACCCTGGTATGTCCACTTGCTGTGCAGAAGTGACTCGAGGTTGCTGTGAAGCCGAATACTGTTATTCATGGTGGACAGTGTTTGGTGAAGCTCCCTGATTAAAACAAGCTTGGAAGCAGGAGTGGCATCCACATTCACAATAGCTTGCCTCTGGAAACCCTATGAACCTGGAGAAAGGATGAAAGTTATACAGGAAATGTCCAGGACTTTCATTCATAGGGTTGCTCTGAGTCACCTGTGACTCGATAGCACTTAACAACACAACAACATGCTTCCAGTGGAGATCTTGTCTTCCAGCTCACTGACTCTCTGTTTCAGGTCTTCAGTTCTACTCTTTTGTCCTACTCCATATAGGATACTGCTACCATTTTGGTCTAAATATTCTGGATTGCATTTTCATGCTTTTCTGTTATTTCTAGTATTGTGCTGGCTGTACCCTCTCTTTCTTGAAATGATTTTTTAAGTTCTTGTACCTCTTTATCTATACTATCGATTCTTTCTTTCTTTCATCTTTTCCTGTAGCTGTTTAAGTTGCTCCTTACCAATATATTTCTTCTGAATTGTTGTCTCTGGGGTATTGGTTCTCTCTCTCTCTCTCTTTTTTTTTTTTACGGTGGAATAAGTTTATTCTTATGTACAGAAGAGTCGGTGTGTACATCAGCCCAGTTTGGTGGCGAGTTCTTTGGCCTTGGCCTTCTCCAGCTTGGCTATGTGGGCCACTGACTTGGGCCCTAGGACGTTGCCTCCCCAGTGAAGGTGGATCTCATCATATCTGTCATTGTAATTGGTTCTGATGGCTTCTACCAGCTTCACCAGAGCACCTTTATCTTCACCTGTGTGAAGGCAACAGTGGTGCAGGTCTTCCGGTGGATGAGGTGGCCCAGCCTGGCCTTGCCCTTGATGATGCAGTAGGGAACACCCATCTTCTGACACAAAGCTGACAGGAAAACCACCAGCTCTACGGGGTCCACGTCGTGTGTGATCACCACCAGTTGGGCCTTCTTGTTCTTCACCAGGGTGGTGACTGTATTCACCCCAGCTCGGAGGACAGGGGATCTCTTGGTGGGGGTGTCTCCTTTGCCAGCAGCCTTCTTCTCAGCCTGGGCCAGCAGCCTCTGCTTCTTCTCCTTCTTGTTCTCTGGTAGGTACTTGTTGGCCAGCTTCAGCAGCTGAGTAGCGTCTGGCAGTCCAAGGCCTGGGTTAACTGGTTAATGGCGGCTGGCACCTTGAGTCGTTTGTAGACGATTGCCCTCTGCTGTTGCAGCTGGATGTAGCAGGGCCATTTGATGAAGCTGGTAAGGTCCCTTTTGGGTTGGATGTCCTGCCCTATGCCCAAGTTTTTGGGTCTTTTCTCGAACAGGGGATTCACCACCTTCTTGTCCTCCTGCTTCTTGACCATGGCGGGTGCTGGGGCCACCTTCTTCCCCTGGGGCCACCTTCTTCCCCTTGGCTATCTTTCCTTCAAAAAAGAGAGCAGTATTTGTTCTCTTAATGGCTTCCATTGTTTCTTCCATCATTTGCATCTTCTTCTATAGCTATTTAAATAACTTCACATTGACATATTTCTTCTGGTCCTCTCTATCTGGGGTATCCATTAGGTCTGCTTTTTTAGGAGAAGGGTTATTTTATTTTTTTCATCATGACTGAGGCAGATTGCTGCTTTCTTGACATTTTGTGAGTTTTTTCAAAGCAGTTGTTAGTTGTTGTAACTATATGACCCAGAGTATGAAAATTATTTATGAATGACCTTTATATTGTGCTCCCTTCTTGGCCCATGATATAGCTAGACATCAGTGTTTCGCTCAAGATATCTGAATGTCAGAAGAGGTAAGTCTGTTCCCTTCCAGAAACTGAGTCTTGGCCAGACTTGACCTGGCCCGGCCCCTTACACTTGAACTTAAGGGGCTCCATGTAGCATAGCTAAACAATAGCTTTTCACCTAAAGTACCTGTGATATTGGTGCTCCTGGTACCAGGCATAAGGGGTGGCAGTTGGGTGGTCTCCAGGCAGTGGGGCAGCTGGGTCTCTAGGTGGCAGGCAGTGGTCCAGTGCCCCGGGCAGTATTGTTGTCTAAAACTACAGCCCCTCAACCTGGCAGGCAGTGGTTCTGTCAGGGTGTAAGTGCACCTGGGCTGGGCTGCAGCCTTTAACAGGGGAAGCAGTGGTTGGAAGACACTCCCAGCCTGCCATGCCACACAGACCTTGGCATCTTGCAGCAGAGCAAAGGTTAGGTCCCCCAACAAGCGCAGGTCTTGTGAGAGGCTTGAATTTGGTGTTGGTGGAGAGTATTGAACAGCCCAAAGACTGTTACAAGAACAAATAAGTATGTCTTGGAGGAAGTGCACCGAAGGGGCTCTCTGAGATTGTCAAGGAGGATGAAAATTCATCTCATACTTAAGGCATGCTGTTAGGAAGGGAAAAAGACTCATACTGAGAAAGATGAAGGATCACAGAAAGAAGTAGACCTTCAACAAGATGGATTGACACAGTGACTGGGGCAATGTGCTCAAGCATATCAAAGACCATGAGGATGGAATAGGATAGGGCAAGGTTTTAATCTGTGGTTCATGGACTCACTATGAGTAGAAGTCAACTTAACAGTCCCTAACATCCATACGTCTTATGGAACAGGACTTCTCCACAAGGTTTTATTGGCTGTGATCTTTACCAAAGCAGGTCATCAACCATTTCTCCCACCAAGCTGCAAGGAGAGATCAAATCTCTTGCTCCACCCAGGGATTGACTTCATGAATGTTAACAGGACAAACAGTGTCGAGGGAGGTGGTATGTGGGAACTCTCTGTAAGCCAAAGCTTCTCTAAAAAAGGAAGTCAATTTATAAAATATTGAAACCATTTGTGAGAGGAGAAAATATTTTTCAAACATTTCCTAGGATATGTGTTAACAAAAAAAAGTTTCTTTACTACATCTAATCAGACATTAGAGTCAAAGTACTGTGAAAGACAATGAAGACAAAATGCATAGACCAGTCTTATTACACAATAAATTTCCCAGAAATATATTTGCATCCTTTTAAAGAAGTCAATCTGTACTAGGTTTAAGTCTGTGTGAGTAACCTAAGCCAGACTCACTGGATTAAGGAAACAACGCCCCCCCCCAAAAAAAAATCTTAAAAAAATTAATCTGTGCCAGCTGCATCATCTCAGATATATTTGAGTTCTTTGTTAACACCACTACCCCCAATCTGTGTTTAAAGGGCCCCCTCAAAACAAAACAACCCACTGTTCTACAGTGGATTCCAATTCATAGTCAACCTGCCCTGTAGTTTAAGGCTGTAAATCTTTACAGAGGCAGAAGCTCACATCTTTCTTTCTCAGAGCAGGGCTTTAAAGCACCAACCTTTTGGTTAGAGCCAACTCCTTTAACCATTCCGCCGAGAGCTTAAATTATTGCCCAAGTTTGTTGTGAAGTGAAAAGCGTGGTACGGCCAGAGCCACCTGCCTCCAGTGCAGGCCCTCTACTCCACAAATCTGCTCTGGGTCTTATCCTATGATGACAAGGGCAGCCTGCTGTGTTGTGGGCGGGCAGGATGACTGTGAGGGAAATGTTCTTGGGCCCCAGAAAGGCACAGGGCGTACCCCAACTTCCCAGGGTCACACCACCCTGGGCGGGCCAGAGACTTGGCCAAAGCTTCAATAGCATGCAGTCTTACTAATGAAAAGTTGAATTGGGCCGCTGGGTTGGCAAGGTGAGAGCAGGAACAAGGGAAAAGGGGGGAGGGAGCCAGGGAGGATAGGTCTTCCAAGGAAGGAAGAGCCTGGGGCCTGGGAGTGCAAAGGAACAAGAGAGCTGGGCGTCAGATGACTTGGTTGGCTTCTAGCCACCAGGCACAGAATTCATAGACTCTACACATGGGTGTGGGTGCTTGAGCAAGACGAGACCTACTCTTGGGGGGGGGGCTGTCCCCCTATTGAGTGAAGCCTGGCAGCTCATCTACTTAGGAGGCAGCAGAGAGGGTTTTGAGCAGGGCCAACACACTCCAAAGGGGGAGTCAGAAGGCGCAGAGACGGTTTGTTGCATTGGTTCCCTGAAAGTATTTGCAGGAGTGAATCTGTGTGTAGCTAAAATAAACACCACCGCAGCTCTTCTTGAGACCCTGGGCTCTAAGGGACATACTACCTCACATTCCAGTCCCCTAGAGTCTGTCCCTTTGAAGACACTGGAATTGGGGAATCCCTGGGGTGAGTCAGAGCCTACCTATTGCACCAAAGGAGATTGCCCCTCTTTCTCCCTCAGAGCAGCTGGTGGATTCCTTCCTTCAAGTTGGCAGCACAGCTCCTTACCACTGGGCCACCAGAGCTCCCTTAGAAGCAGCATGTAAAACATCTGAATCACACTGTTCTACTGTTTGCCTCTCCAGATCTTCCTTCTTTCTTTTACTATTTTTATTGTTATTTGAGTAAAAGTCTGCAGAGCACACTGGTTTGGTTGGGTTATTTTTTAAATTAATTTTAATGAAAGGTTCCAGAGACATTGGATTTCCATTCATTCATTGTTGCACATTTTCCTCCCTGCCCACACTTCCCCCCAGGTTCACTTTTCTCTTTGAAAAGAAAAAATTATTTCATTGTTATACAATCTCTCCCTCCCTACCCCCGCCCCAGTCCACTCCACTATGCAGCTCTCATTCTGGACTCTTGTCATGGCAATAATACCTAATCATATAATCCTTCTAAACAGTTCTCTCCCTCATCTGTTTCAATGCAGTATACATTATCTATCCCCTCTTAGTTTCCCCCCATTATTTATCCCCTCTTTTCTTAGTTTCCCCCCAACCCCGACATCAGTCCCACTGTTATAAAACAGTGGCACTACACAGTATTTGTCCTTTGATGACTGAGATATTTCACTCAGTATAATGTCCTTCAGGATCACCCATTTTGTATAATATTTCATGAATTGTTTTTCTTTTTTTATAAATTGTTTTTCAATGCAGCATAGTATTCCCCATTGTGTGAATATACCACAGCTTCTCTATTCATTCATTTGTTGATGGACACTTGGGCTGTTTCCAGCTTTTTGTTATTGTGAACAAAGCCGCAATAGACATGGGTGTGCATATATGTCTGCTTGGGTGGCGGTTATGGTTTCTTTAGAGTATATTTCCAATAGTGGAATTGCTGGGTCAAATGGTATTTCTATTTGCAACTTTTTGAGAAAGCGCCATACTTCCTTCCACAGTGGCTGCACCATTTTACACTCCCACCAGCAGTGAATAAGGGTTCCAGTTTCTCCACAACCTCTCCAGCCTTTGTTGCTTGCTGTTCTGTTAAATTTTGCAATTCTGACTGGGGTTAGATTATATCTCCTAGTTGTTTTGATTTTCAACTCTCTTAGAGCTAGGGATTTTGAACATTTCTTCATGTGCTTGTTGGCCATCTGAATGTTTTCTTTGGTGAGGTGTCTGTTCATATCCTGTGCCTATTTTTCAATTGGATTATTTACCTTTATCTTTTTGTGGTGGCACACTGGTTTTCTATTGCATAATTCATTCACATTGTTTTGTGACACTGACTGCAATCCCACATCAAAAGAGCACGCTTCCCACTCCTCGTGTTTCCTGCTTCTAGTCCTCCTTATTTTCCTTTCTCTTCTTTCTACTGAGCTTTATCCTTGGGCAAATGTTGTACTTTCAGTCTTGTATGGTTGATTATCCGAAGGACTATAGGGGTGATTTCAATTTCAGTCTTGAAAAGTAGCTAAGGGCCAGAGCCTTAGGGGCTCTACTAGTCTGTATCAGACCAATAAATCTGGATTTTTAATTTATTTTTGTGATTTTGGGGGGCTTTGTTCCCCAGTTACACTCTCTCACCCTATCACAGACCTTCTATTTTGATCGCTTTCACATCAGATAATAATGACAGCTGGGTAGCATCTACTTCTTCTGGTCTCAGGGTCTTGGAGATAGAACTTCATATAGCTCCATAGGTCTTTGGATTAATGATGTTGCTATTATGTGCCCCATCGAATTAGAACCAACTCAGTGCTGACCCTCCAGTGGTTTTTCAGAGGCTGTAAATTGCGTGACTACAACATGTAGTAGACAACCGCAGAGACAATTGAGGGCAGTACAGGATTAAACAATGTTTTGTTCAACTGTGCAAAGGGCCCTTGTGAGTTGGAACTAATTCCTAAAAACAACAAGGACAGTAATGAAGTAGCTGATTCGGGCCCTATTCATCAAAGGGGAACAGAGTACGCTTGTTGGATAAGAAGGGGAAAGAACACGGTCAGGGAATTACAATACTGTCACCATCTGAACCCAAAGGTTCTACGCATCCTCCCTAACACAGCATCCAGATACAGTGAGCATGCCCATGGGTTGAGATATGAATACCAGGCATTATCTTTGAATTGTTCTTATTAAAAATACTTAACC